TCTCCTGTAATCTCCTGCTTTCTCCTGCAATCTCCTGCAATATCCTGCTTTCTCCCGCAATCTCCTGCTTTTTCCCGCAATCTCCTGCTTTCTCCTGTAATCTCCTGCTTTCTCCTAAAATCTCTTGCTTTCTCCTGCAATCTCCTGCGTTCTCCTACAATCTCCTGCTTTCTCCTGTAATCTCCTGCTTTTTCCTGCAATCTCATGCTTTCTCCTGTAATCTCCTGCTTTCTCCTGTAATCTCCTGCTTTCTCCTGCAATCTACTGCCTGCTTTCTCCTGCAATCTCCTGCTTTCTCCTGTAATCTCCTGCTTTCTCCTACAATCTCCTGCTTTCTCCTACAATCTCCTGCTTTCTCCCGCAATCTCCTGCTTTCTCCACCAATCTCCTGCTTTCTCCTGCAATCTCCTGCTTTCTCCAGCAATCTCCTTTCTCCTGCAATCTCCTGCTTTCTCCTGTAATCTCCTGCTTTCTCCTACAATCTCCTGCTTTCTCCTACAATCTCCTGCTTTCTCCCGCAATCTCCTGCTTTCTCTTGCAATCTCCTGCTTTCTCCTGCAATCTCCTGCTTTCTCCACCAATCTCCTGCTTTCTACTTCTATCTCCTGCTTTCTCCTGCAATCTCATGCTTTCTCCTGCAATCTCCTGATTTCTCCCGAAATCTCCTGCTTTCTTCTACAGTCTCCTGCTTACTCCTGCAATCTCCTGTAATCTCCTGCTTTCCCCACCAATCTCCTGCAATCTCCTACTTTCTCCCGCAATCTCCTACTTTCTCCCGCAATCTCCTGCTTTCTCCTGCAATCTCCTGCTTTCTCCTGTAATCTCCTGCTTTCTCCTGCTTTCTCCTGCAATCTCCTGCTTTCTCCTACAATCTCCTGCTTTCTACTTCTATCTCCTGCTTTCTCCTGCAATCTCCTGCTTTCTCCCGCAATCTCCTGCTTTCTCCTACAGTCTCCTGCTTTCTCCTGGAATCGCCTGTAATCTCCTGCTTTCTCCACCAATCTCCTGCAATCTCCTGCTTTCTCCCGCAATCTCCTGCTTTCTCCTACAATCTCCTGCAATCTCCTGCTTTCTCCTGTAATCTCCTGCTTTCTGTTGCAATCTCCTGCAATCTCCTGCTTTCTCCACCAATTTCCTGCAATCTCCTGCTTTCTCCAACAATCTCCTACATTCTCCACCAATCTCCTGCTTTCTCCTAAAATCTCCTGCTTTCTTCTACATTCTCCACCAATCTCCTGATTTCTCCACCAATCTCCTCCTTTCTCCTACATTCTCCACCAATCTCCTGCTTTCTCCTGCATTCTCCACCAATCTCCTGCTTTCTCCACCAATCTCCTGCTTTCTCCACCAATCTCCTGCTTTCTCCACCAATCTCCTGCTTTCTCCACCAATCTCCTGCTTTCTCCACCAATCTCCTGCTTTCTCCTACAATCTCCTGCTTTCTCCCGCAATCTCCTGCTTTCTCCTGTAATCTCCTGCTTTCTCCCACAATCTCCTGCTTTCTCCAACAATCTCCTGCAATCTCCTGCTTTCTCCTGCAATTTCCTACTTTCTCCTGCAATCTCCT